TATATTTATTCAACAAAATATCGACCTAACTTACTCTAACCAGCTATAGAAGGACGTATACATTAAGTTTTAGTTATTATGCAATAGGTACGTTGATAACTAATTTTTTATAAAATAATTTAAAAAAATAAAAATTACGAGACACAACGCAACTCAACTCAAAAAAATAAATGGTAGAGTTGTGAATAATCATTGGAGTCACCAACCCAATTAACTTGGATTTTTGGATTGGTTTAAAAAATTCTCTCCACCCAACCCATATACACCGACACTAGCAGATCACACTACAAACAGTAAAAAAAACTAAAATTTTTAGACCAAGAAAAAACCAATAAACGGATAATTATGAATCCAAAATTTACCATCTAAAAATAGTATCCCGATTGAAATTCATGATTTGCGCCGTTATAATAATTTTTTTTAAAGAGAAAAAGATAAAAACAAAGAAAACGACGAGAGCCGCCAAAGTTTGACCAATTGACTTTTTGAGAGATACGAAAATTATTATTTATTTAGATATATATATATAGTCACGCTCAATCATCAAAAAAGACTAAAATGACATTGTCATACACGATACAAACACCATCATTCTTTCATCCATCGATTATTTTCGACTTTTCACATCATCCCCCACAACCCTTTTTAATCATACCATTTCTTTAAATTATTGCTTGATTACGAGATTTCACCAATCTTCACTTCTTTTTATCCCGTTCTAAATATCTATCCAATTTGCATTTTTATTACCAAAATAAAAAAAAATTATATTATAGAAATTTAAATATATATATATATATAATTGAGTGGGATTTATTATAATAGATTTAATTAATAAAAATATCATTCAAATTTGCACTCTCTTACGAAAATATTCAACTTTAAAAAGTTTTAATAATATCTTTAAAATTAAAAATAATATATATAACATATTTACTGTTAGTTTTAAAAAAAAATTATAGAAATCGATAATATTTTGTTTGAAAAATATCTTAATATACAGCTAATACTCTGTTTAAAAAATACCAACAAAATTTCAAAAGGAGCATTAACACACTTTACCCTTATAAAAAAAAATTATCTTATTTGTCAATATATGGACGAAAATCGTCTATCGACATGTCATAGATTATCTACCGACGGTTTAATGTTACTTTGGATAGTTCATGAGTATTTCAGAAACGAGGTACTAATGGTAAATATATTATTTTTAAAAAAAAAAATTTAAAGATATTTTTAAAATAAAGTACTAAACGTTTCTATTCGAAACCGTAATTTGAAATTTCTTCACAGTTTAAGAGTATTTTTGAGATTTTTTTTTTGAATTTAAAGATAATATTCAAATTTTTAAAAGTGTATGGTATTTACTTTTATTAATTTAGCCTTTAAAATAGCATTAACGTAAATTAATCACTTGGTAAAAATTCAGTAGGTAAATGATATTAACAAAATCTTTTTAGATAAAATAAATGGTAAAAACAATCTATTTTCTATAATTGAAATCCATCATGCGTCACATCAATTATAATTTTTTATTTAAATGAAAAATATAAACAACTTCTAAAATAAGAAGGGTAAGAAAATTACTTTATGGTAAAATAAAAGTTAAAAAAAAAAGAAAAAGTAAAAAAAAGGGTAAAAAGGTTGAAGAGGACATAAGTAGAGGTCGAAATTCAATTATATAAATATAGAGAACCCAAAGTTCAAATATTAAAAGTTAATTATGAATAATGGGCCCACCATTCATTGTGAGAGATCTTTAGTGGGGCCCATTTTAACCTAAATACATGCATTGCAGCGAATCATTTTCATAATATTTTTTTTACTTTTTAAATAAATTATAAAATATTTTTTAACAGTAGTTAGAGTTAATAATAAGATGAAATAAATATAAATATATATAATAAATTAAAATATTTTATTCAAATCATATGCATTATAAGTGTTCATATGACTCGATAACCCGATAAACCTAGATTACCCAACCCAAATTATAAAGGATGAGTTAGGCTGGATTTTTTTTTTTCCGTTTGGGTTGAGTTGAATTTTTGAAAAATCGAAAATTCGAATCGTTTGTAGGTTGACTTTTTTTTATCGGGTCAACCCAACCAATCGAAAAATAGGGTTACTACCTAACCACCCATACTTTTAAACAAATTTAGAATATTTAGATGCACTGTCGCTTGTAAATGTTTGATATTTGACTTTTTAAACGCAACCCAATGCAACCCAACCCAACCCGATGGGTTGAGTTGCGTTATGAACTATATTCGGTGCTTAGGTAACCAACCCACCAACCCGAAATTGGTCTAAAAACTTTTTTTAACCTATTCGAGGCAACCTGTATACACTCGTGATATGAGTTAGATTAGATTGATCGAGTTTTTTAGATTATAAAATAAAGTATGCGGGGTCGGGAATCATGAAATGCAATCCGAAAACCTAGGGGAAAGTGAATGTGGGTAACTATTGCTCTTCATGTGTTTCTCTAAAGACAAAAGTTGGTCTTGGTTGGGTATTTCAAAATTTGCATTTTCATGATCATTGCTTCAATTATATCTTTGTTTGTGGCCAAAAAGAAAAAGAAAAAAAAAATACTAATTTGCATGCAAATGGGTTTTTTTTGTACTTTAGATTTGAATGAATTGATATGAACATGCATGCCTTGAAGTTTGATGATTAAGCATGCTAATTCAAATGCATTGCCCATGTGAAATTTTACCCAAATCTTTCGTGTTTTGATCTCTTTTTCGACATTGCATGTGGCTCGATTTTTTCGAGATTCATTTGCATAGTCACTATGGTGCACGTCGTTATACGTTCGCTAGCTTTGAGGTAGGATTGTTCAAAAAACTCGATAATAATCTAAACAAATATGATCCATCTAATCCAATCTGTACGGTTTTGGTTGAGTTGTGAATAAATGAAAACTTTATGAATTGGGTTGGTTCGTGAGTTTCCCTAAAATTAGATTGAGTTGAATCTACACCCCTATATTCACTCAAAAAAGCATGTAAAAGAGGTTTGGAACAGGCATGCAACCATGGACAACGTGTCCTGGACAAGTAAGAATGGGATATCTGTCATGCGGCCATTGACAACACGCCTTGGACATGCATGACGGTGATATCCTCTCCCACTCAATTGGTTGACGTCCCTGTCAACTAACTTGGACAAGCAAGACTGGGACATCTGTCATGCTTTAGGTAAGCATGACCGTGACATCTCTTGTCAACTGACTCGGACAAGCAATACTGAGACATCTGTCATGCTTTAAGTAAGCATGACTGGGACATCAATTCGAATTTATTGTTAATTTTAAAAGATATATTTTTTAAAAGATATACTCAAATTGAGCTGCAAATTTAATTAAATGTCTAAATGTTTTACTTTTATTAAAAAAAATTGAATAAATAACCCGAACCAACTAAACACGAAAAATTTAAGGATTGTTTGGGTTGAGTAATGTTACGATACGACCCAACTCAACCTACAAATACTCGTGGCTTGAAGTATATACTACTAATTAAAAGGTTAGAGGTTTAAGTCTGTCGTCATGCACTCAATATCTTTACCATTAGCTTTAAATGAAAACGGTCTGTTTACGTACCAATTAGGATCGTTGCTTTTAAAAGCAAGTATAATGTTTCCAAATTAAATAATTCAAACATGTTTGAGGTATCCCGAACTTTGGAAGACAAACATTTAAAAAAAACAATCCAACCCTACGAAACTTTATTAGAAAAACACAATCATTCACGATGTTTGTAATTCCCATAGACAAGGAGCTTCATAACACAAAACATGTTAAAAGGAGAGGCCGGGTTGTCTTAACCCTACGTGTCATTTTCGTGTCACAACCTTACTTAAATCTTGGCGATTATTAAAAATATTCAGTAAGATACTCCTTTTTGTCACTTGCTCATGACTTGCCATAGATAAGGATTATCTAACTCGACACGAACTGACACATAAAGAAACTGTGTTTACTCTACTGACCGTTGATGATTAGTTCCCACACGCATCATTCATAGTGGCAAAAATAATACTTTGATTGCCATTAACAAAAGCCACCTCCTTTCGAGACCAACGTCTTTGCTGGCACACCGCCTTGTGTCTACCACTTTAGAACACAACCTTCTCGTTGGCATATTACCCCGTGTCTAGCTCTGATACCATTTGTAACGGTCTAAACCATAATTTTAAAACGGGTCTTAATAACGTTGTTCATATAACAAACATCCAGCGATTGCCCGAGCTCCTTAATTGAATAAAAAAGGTGGGATAGAATATTATCCATACATTCTTATATACAAAACTTAAATTCGATTCATTACTAGACAACACACTAACCAATCGAATGTGATGCTATTCACAAACCGATTGTAGTCGTCTCGCATGTTCGATTGCTAGTCGTGTTGCTTGTTGTTCATGATCTTACTGCCATTGAAGCTGGTTGTGTGGCGGCGTTGGAACCGCATGCATGCCTGTCAGACAATGCACGCCTCAAGAGTTGGGTTGGTTTTCAAACAACACCGAGAGTCCCTCGCTAAAGAAGAAGGGTTGTCCCTGACTCACCATGGTGTACGTTAGTATTTTATTTCAAAAATATTTTTTTTAATTTTTTTAAAATATTTTAAAAGTATTTCAACCTTTGAAAATATTTTTAAAATATCTTTAAATGTTAATTTTTTTTATTAATATCCTTAATTTTTTTAAAACCTACCCAAAAAAAATAATAATATTTGAAGATAATTTATGAGGTATCGATATACATTTTTCGTCAACAGTAAAAAAAATATTAATATATTTTTTTTTAATTTATGAGTATTTTTAAAAAATATTTTTTAAGAAAGAAAAAAAGAAAAAAAGAAAAAGGAAGATTGAATAAATATAAAAATAAAAAGAAGAAAATTGAAACAAACACTCCTAAAGAGATTTTAGTTTTTTTTTTTTTTTTTTTTTAATATAATTTAATAAAAAGAAAACCCTTTAAAATTTGATTTCCAATAGTGTCCCTGGAAATTTGACTCCCTAAACATACGGCGGCGTTCGTCAACGACGAGATCTTCCGGTCATCCAAATCCACTTTCGAGTTCATCTTTCACGGGGATCCTGCGTGAACCTCCGAGGACTGTAGCGTGAGTTTCCTGCCCTAATCTCTTTCTACTGCATCTTCACTTAGCCGCCATCTTTCTCGGCAATGGTGGTGCTTCAATCTCTCTGTTCGCCTTTAACCAAAAATCACTGATAATATAGCTTGATTGACCGCAGAAGAGGAGCATGGGGGATCTATTTGTGTGGCTTATATCATTCTTCTCCCTCGTTGCTCTTCTGATAGTCCTTGTTTATCAGGTAAATTCGAAACCCTGTCTCGTCTGTTTGTCTCGCATTGACTTCCGTTCGAGTTCGTTAAGTAGAATCAATTTGAATCGAAGACAGTTTATATCAAAATTTCGATGGCGGATACATTTCATACAATTTCTGAACATTAATTTTTAGTAGATTAGGATTTCGATTTGCGCTTTGTTCAGCTCGGAGATATTAGGGTTTAGCACAATTATAATTCACATATTCTTCTTCGCTTGTCAATTTGGAAACACTTTTAAAGAAAGTGTAGATTCGTTGTGCACCTTGGATTGGATTTATATTGATTGGATGTCGTGCTTTGTAGTTTTCTTGCTTTTCCCCAATTTCTTGAAAAGATTCTGAGGTCAGGATTTTCCTGGTGGTCAATTGCTGTAAGGTTATTTGTCAATACCTATCCTTTTGATCCCATTTCTTCTTAGTGAAGTATAACTAAAGCTAAAATTTAAGAATATATGGTATGCGACCCTTGGGCTGCTTTTATTTCATGGCATATATAATTGAAAGATTATGGATGCAATGAGTCATTATAACATGCTGACTGATTCCTAGTTTGAATATTTATTACGCCCAGAATTTATGTTGTTGATCTTCAGAATATCTGTTGGTAGAAGCTTAATTACCCAAGAGGCTGGCAATGTTAAGAAAAATTTAAACAACATTTTAGGACTTGTTCAATCAAGTCTTCCTTTTTGTATTTAAACATATCAATTTCCTATCTCTGAGCTTTTTACGTATGCAGGATCAAATATCAAGTTTTCGTTTTGAATTTATTGTTGTTTTTGTTGTCGTTTCATCGTCATTATTTTGTGTGTGTAGCTCATGTGCTTGGCGGATCTCGAGTTTGATTATATCAACCCCTATGACTCTGCTTCTAGAATAAATAAAGTGGTTATGCCGGAGTTCGTTGCTATAGGAGTTTTGTGCCTCTTCTATCTTTTAACAGGGCATTGGGGTATGTCAATGTTATGTGGACCGTACATATATTATAATGTGAGACTGTAAGTGTTTTCATCCATCACCTTTGATTGAACTTATGATCTAAATCAAGAACAATTTGTATGATTTGTATTGTATAATTCTTTCAACCAAAGAAACACATGATTTTGAACAGTTTTGACTGCATAAGATATTTACTTCTGATTTTGACCGTTTAATCGACATCCCATTGATTTGACATAGCTTAAGAAATACCAGATGTTAGAGTTGAGGATTATCCTTGAAGCTAAGATCTACTCTGTTGGGCTGGGCTTATTGTCAGAGCAGCATAGACCATGTTGGTATGTGGTTGTAAGCTGTGGCTGCTTACTAGTGTAGTTGGGATGTGATAGGGAACGCTAGTTAGAGAATATGTATCAGTTCTAATTACGCCTCTAATCCATTTTTTCGGACTACTGAATAACGACTGCCTTTGATGTATTATGTAAGGTATATGGTTGGAGCTTGCTTTATTTCCATCTCAGAAAATTCATGTGGTAGTGTAGAGTAGTTGCAGAACTTAGTTGAAAAACTAATTTACTATGCATTGCAGTCATCACATTCTGTATCTAATGGTATTCTTCAATTCTCAAGGAGAACTAGAATTAAGAATGCCAACTTTTAAGTTGTTTTTAATCGAGTGGTGAAGGCACCATTCAAAATATTTGAGGCAGAATCCTTCTTTGGCTCTATGATCGGGCGTATCGTATACTAGGGAAAGTAAGCATTCGGAATATTATGATATTTTGGTGATATAACTCTTAGCTCTTTACCAAATAACTGAAATTGTATTGAAATATAAATGGATAAAGGAATAGAATTAATGTCTCTCTATGTATTTGAGGTACTTAGAACATCCCTCTTGAGTATTCTCAAGCCTAACCAACTACAAGTATTTTCTACCTTCATTCATCCTTTCCCACTCCCTATATTGGTACCAACTCCTTTGTTAAATACTAATTTTCCCTTACCATTCCGAATCTAATAATATTACTAACAATTACCTCATACGGCCTTTCTATCGACCTTTACCAAGTCCGAACGATTGTCGACCACCAGATCCGCTGGTCTGCTACATTCACCCTAGCCCACAAGCACAAATCCTCGGCTCACTTCTGAAACACACCTTCATATGATCTGCATATCACTATACTCATTAGTCTGTTCTTGTGATCAGGTACCTACGAAGACAGTACCTGGTAGATGTTACAGAGATATTCAATATGCTAAACTGGGAAAAGAAGCGACGGCTTTTCAAACTAGCCTATCTAGTTTTCCTCCTCTTCCTTTCTATATTTTGGTACTTCAATGTTATTGTTTGTTGTTTTTTTAGAATCTTAAATAGTTAAATGCCTCTCTGACCGAATTCGCCTGATTTGTAATTGCAGGATGATATACTCTGCTTTGGAAGATGATGAATAAATAGAAACAACTGCTTGCATGCTGATGCCATCAGTTGTGAGTTGAATTCTATCCTTAAAGTACCTTCTTAGAAGCTGCTGCACTTTGCAGATATCAATGACATTCTTGTTGAGCCGGGAACTTCGTTAAGTGCCAATACTGTTCTGTTAGGTACTTTTCATGGTTGAAATATGAATGATGTCTCTCTCTCTCACACACACACCACCAGCACTCACAATTTAGGAATGGCGGTTACATTATAATGTTGCTCTATGGTGGAAGTCTCACATTCTTTAGTTATTGTTTCTTGTAATTCTTCTTCTTGTAGCAAGTAGAAAATCATGTTTGAGAACATTATTTATATATTTTTAGACAGGATAAAGAGATTGTTTGTTGATGAAAGTATTTCTTTTCAAGTGGAACGATGCTACATTAACTTTAGGAAAGAACAGTCTAGTATGAATGATGTCCAGTTTCCTTCAAGAACAACACACAAAAATGCATAAGAGCATTGGACTCAACTGTGTAATGTCTGCAAAACATGTATTCTTGGATCGAAACAAAAGAATTTTTAACATGGATGTGTAGGAGAGCATGACATTGGATGAATTGCTTAGGGTTTTGTGTTGCTTAGTTGATCATAGCTCTCATAGCTCAACTTATTAAGTGTATTCTGGGATGCTAATAGCATCGTGAAATGTTTTATAACGTAAGTAGCATGTCATCTTTATCGAGTGGATTATCGATTCAATTTTTAAATGAATAGTCTTTTCAAAACGATTCTAAATTGCTCTTAAAATAGAAATCTATTAGAATATTATACAGAAGATGAGATTTGAAATCATATGGTTGTGGCTAATTTATTTTGACATCGTGCAATAATAAAAACTCGATCAAATGAGTAGCAAGATTATGAATGGAAAAGGGGTTTGGGAAGAACATAATTTTAATTTAATTTCAATCACTATAACAAATTTGAAAAAATAAATTGTCTCTCAACTTCTCTTCTCTCCATCTCTTGTTTTCCTTAGCTATGAATTCTTCTATCCTCCTCACCAATTCCTCTTCTTCTTCCTCCTCTTCGTCATCCCACCGCTCGGTTTCATCTTTGTCAACACTGTCATTATCTTCATCTTCCTCATTCGATTGTTCAATTTCATCTCCATCTCTATCTTCATCTTCATCAAAACCGTCATTATCTGCATCTTCTTCATCTTCCTCGTTCAATTGTTCAATTTCATCTCTGTCTCTATCTATTTTCTCATTTTCACTACTATCAGCATTTTCGTCTTCATCATCTTCTCTTTTATCTTCGTCTTCCTCACGAGCACTAAATTCAGCGTCTTGACAAAGCTTATGATAGGAAGGTTGAAGAAGACATCGTGGCTCATGATTTCGAACCGTTACGAGAAGAATCATAAAGTTGAAGATTGAGAAAATGATATAAGGACTACCAAAAAGGTGAGATGGGTTTGATGATACCCACAAAAGCACCACCACCACCAAAATAGGTACCAATCCCACCATAATTCTCATCCCCAAATAACTCCTCTCATTGCTATTTATACTTCCCTCATTATATATAATCTAATCTTTTTAAATATTCAAATTTCATTTTTTTTAGGAAATAGACTTCCGAGGACGAGTTCAAACTCAAAGATAGTCGTTTACAATATAAACAAATTTTACGAGATTCATCGAAGTTAGGTAGACTGTCCTATAAGATTCCTTGAAGTTTGCATCCGATTGACGTATAAAAGATAAATTCATTACTCTTAAAAGGTCGTAAGCAAGATCGAGAATGACATAACACGAGAGACAAATTATAAAATTTCTCAATTCAACAAACAGTGAGGAAAATTAAACCCGTCAATATTGAAAAAGGTAAAAGAGCGTATAGAATTTTAATTTAGGTATCTTGTTGTGAAGCAATGAAAGCTTGCAAGGGATTATTTGTTGTTCAAGTAAAATGGAGGAAAATCAAATCCATTGTTCTTGCATTAATATAAGGTAGCAAATTTTTATAATCTTGGCCTTAAAGACTTTTCCTAAAGAAACAAAATTTTGCCCATTTGAGGAATGTATTTATTTAAACCTATATCGCTTGGATCGTAAGAAACTGTTCTTAAAACAAGGCCGTTTTGTGTGAATTGAACATCGTTATCCTGTTTCGTTATGCAATCCAACTGTGATTTTGTGTTGATTGTAAATTAAGGTCTTACGAATGCTTAAGATATGTTAGGTTTAAGCACTTTAAAAGTCGTTCTAAATAAATTCGTAATCTAATGGTAAACATAATTTCTCGATTGATATAGAATTGTCATGTCGAGTTTGATCTAAAGATAATTAGATGCTCGAAAAGTTTAACCTTAATGCATGTTTACTTTTAGTTTTGATTGGTGTAGAGCCAATGAGTTCGATTGAACATTGTGACAAAACATTCGTTCAGTGATTTTGGCACGGGATGTTTTAGAAATGGGATACTGTAGGATCGAGTCAATTCAATGATGACATCTATTGCCATTCCAACTTTCGGTTCCTTCTCTTTTTATGGTCATGAATGTATGAATAAGACACATTTTTTTGTGGTTTGCTTCGGAATAAAACAATTAGAATTGGGTTTGTTGAATTAAAATGTGTTATCCATATAGGCTTTCAGTGGAGAAGATCGATCAACTCAAGACAAAGAGGAATGTATATATACTTTTTAGCTATTCAGCTCTCGTAATAGATAATAACAACTATGTCAGTGTGAGACCCCACATCGGTTGGAGAGAGGAACGAAACATTTTTTTATAAGGGTGTGGAAATCTCTCATCAAGAGACGCGTTTTAACCTTGAGGGGAAGCTCAAGAGGGAAAACCCAAATAGAACACCATCTACTAGCAGTGGGCTTGAACCGTTACAATCGGATAAATGAATTTGAGACAACTTTTAAAGTCTTGAGGATATCACAGAATGAAATAGCCAAATAGGCCCATATCTGTTAGCCCAAATAGGAGTGTTATAGAGTCGGACAAATGAATTTAAAACGCGTTTTAAAACCTTGAGGGGAAGTCCAGAAGCCCAAATAGGACTGTTACAGAGTCGGACAAATGAATGTAAGACACGTTTTAAAACCTTGAGGGGAAACCCAGAAGCCCAAATAGAACTGTTACAGAGTCGGACAAATGAATTTAAGACGCGTTTTAAAACTTTGAGGGAAGCCTAGAAGCCCAAATAGGACTGTTACAGAGTCGGACAAATGAATTTAAGACGCGTTTTAAAACCTTGAGGGGAAGTCCAAGGAAAAGCTCAAAAAAGACAATATTTGTTAGCAGTAACTTTAAGACATGTTTTGAAATGAATTTAAGACGTTTTAAAACTTTGAAGGGAAGCCAAGGAGTGGAAGCCTAAGACAATATTTGCTAGCAGTGGGTTTAAGACACATTTTAAAACTTTGAAGAGAAGCCTAAGGGAAAACTCAAATAAAATAATATCAGCTAGCGGTCGGTTTAAGACATGTTTTAAAACCTCGAAAGGAAGTCCGAAGAGAAAGCTCAAATAAGACAATATTTACTATTGGCGGGTTTGGGCTTTTACAATTGGACAAGGCTGTTACACTCGAACAAATGAATTTATGACGTATAGAAGCCCAAAATATCTCGAGAAAAGATGAACAGATATCTTAATCAATCAAATTCAAAGATTGGATTTAGAACTTTGATGATGTATTAAACTATATTCTACATTACATGACATAGCTGCAATCTAAACGATTATGACCTAAAACTAAACGAACGTATCAAAACAAGAACAAAAATTGAAAATTGATACTAATGGTAACAAAGAGTAGTCAGTTGTTAATCAACGTAAAACGAAGAACAACACCTACCCAAATCGAAGCTCGACGACGATGTGGTTGATGCGATCGAACAATAATACGATACTGGTATTTCTTAACCACTAGTTATCGGTACATTGATATCAGTTGGTTGACTCTTCAAATCTGGAACTAAAGGTGACCACGTTTCAGCACGAAGGGAAGATGTTGTCGTCGTCGTTGTCGTTGTTGTCATGTATGATTTCGGTTCAACACTCGAAATTGGAAAAACGGAAACCGGTAATATAACATCTTGTTTCGGCTTCTTCGGCTTTTGCTCGTGTTGGTTCCCAAATATAAAGCTTCCTACTACCACCTGAATTTGTCAAAGTTGTCGGGGAGAAGAAATAGTTAAGAATTAGGTGGTGGGTTGATTTCGACTAATTTATGTGCTCGGTGATAAATTAGAAGTTCGAGTTCTAAGACTAAATGGACTAATGAACCACGAATAAGAGAAAAAAAAACATACTTGAACCGGACTTGCAGCTACTAACAAACCAACAACTCCGCCACCAACAATGCGTCCGTCTGGACTCGCTAACGAGACACTCATTCCACCAGTTCTACTCTTTGTTCCCGCATTATCGCTCGGCATGAACGATCCCGACAACGACAGTATCTCAAAACGACCCTGTAAACAAAAGAAAGAGAGTTCCGTCTTATGATCAACAGTAACAATCACCATATTCATACTTCATAAAACAATTGCAAACTAGAATGTTCGTTAAACAAACAGATCTTTGTATAAAGATACAACCTCATATGTTAATGTTCCTCCAGAAGAATCGGGTTGACGAAGAGTGACGCTCGAAATCACACCGTTAGCAGAGAGAATACAAATGGCTCGAGGTCCTTGTTGAGAAAATGAGAGAACCTTCATCGTAACGTCCTGAAAATAACACATCGAACATCGCTATTACATCGAAATATAGAAACGTCGACTACAAACATTGTGTTTTAAGGTAACAAAATTACCTCACCAGTGTTGACAGTGATGATATGGGGTGTGAAATTAGCTCCTACTGAACAAGGTACCCATTCACCTTCATAACAACCAAAATTAACCCCTTATTTATTTTAATAATAATAATAATAAATAAATAAATAAAAGAGACTTTAAAAATACATTTTAAACATTTTTAATTGCTTAAAATAAAACAAAATATTTTTAAATATTTACAAAATCAACCGTATAGATTGAGTTGGATTGAGTTCGAGAAATTTTTTTGAACCTATTGGACTGATTGACTCAATCAACCCAGTTCACAACCTAACCGTTGTGTTGTCGGGTTATTTTTTTTTAATTATTAAAAAATATCTATTTTAATAACTAAAATCTAATAAAATTTGAATATCAAATATTCAGGTGGTAGTACATCATTAATATCAGTTACAAACGTTAAATATTCTTAATATTCACAATAATCTTGAGTTGGATTCAAACCTTATTTTTGGGTTGGTGGGTCGGTCCCGTTGATAGGACCAAAAAAAATTCAACTTAGGAATTGACCCAAAATTTTCAATTTTACCATAATTCAACCTGACCTAAATCGAACAAAAATCGAGTTAAATAATCTTGAGTTGGGTTCTAACCCTATTTTTGGATTGGTGGGTTGGTCGGTTGATCCGACAAAAAAAAAAAAAAAGTACTTAGGAACTGACACAAATTTTTAATTTGACCGGAATTCAATCCAACCGAACAAAAATGGAGTTAAATAGTTTGAATTGATCCAATTCTCGAATCGTATGAACAGCTTTGTCCATAAATTTTTTAGGAACTAAAACTATGTTTTGAAATTACTTTTCCTATGATTCGAACTAACGCAGTTTAAGTCGAATTTTCGTTACCTAAATTCTCCGTTTCATATTTGGTTTTGCTCAACGAACTCGCCGGCCGCACTTTCCCACGTTTCTCCGCCGAGAAATCAATCACCGCCGACCGTGCAGGTGCCGACGTCGATATCGGCTTCGGCGACAGCGCCGCCGCATTCAACTTCCCGTCCGGCCCATACTTCCTCGGTCTTCCCCTCTTCTTCTTCCCCGCCACCGCCGCCGCAGAACTCACCGGACCGCCACCTTCCGGTGCCGGAGCTGCCATCTCAGGTCTCGGAGGACTTGATCCTGCAGCTGCAGTAGCCCCATTTCCGGCATCCCCTTCTCCTCCCTCCATGAATCTGTGTGGATTTTTCTGCAATTAAAACAAAACCCATTAATTTTTCAATCGAAAAATAAAATAAAATAAGCAAAATTAAAAGAAAAAATGGATTTTGATTTGACCTGCAAACAGAAAATACAAACACTGAGAGTGTTCCACTCAGCTCTGTTTTGTTGTTTGATAACAGAGATCAGAATTTAACACCAAAAACAGAGATCTTATTTTCCCCTTTTATATATATATATATATATATATATATATTTTTTTTTTTTTTTACATGGAAAATTTTTTTTTGTTAAGCTCAATAGAAATGAAAATTAAATTACCGATTTTTAACCGTAATTTTTGTGTTATATGTCGAGTGTTACCAGATGAAGAAAAAAGAAGATTATGACATCAATATACAGACGTACAGAAGACAACGATACACGATTGGTGCATATCGAACTATGTGAGAGTCGAGAAAGTACAAACGTCATACGGAGCTAAACTATTTACACTAATTATTTAATATTTTATTTTGATACATGGGTTATTGCAAAAAAAAAATGTTATTTGATTATTTGTAAATAAAAATTTTATTTTTTAAAAATGGTTGGAATATTTATAGTGTAGGGTGTAAAATAGATTTAAACATTTAATAAGAATTAAATAATAAGAGAGAGGAGAAAATAAACTATTCCAATATTTTAAATAATTTATTTGAATTAATAATATAATAATTTGGGTTTTTGGTTGGAATCCGCTGGAAACGTATAATATTAAATTACCAGCGAAATTTAAAAGTGGGTAGACGGTTCTTTTTTTTAAAAAAAAAAAAATAATAATAAAATATATTCCATTTTTTATTTTTTTAAAAATTTAAAAGTATATGATGGTAATTATTACGACAAATATTATATAATATATTTTAGGTGCAACAAAATAAAATTATGGGTTTGCTAAGCCTTAAAGGAATTGTCTTTCCTTAATAAAATTATCATTATTATTATTAAATATTTTTTAATTTTAGCTTTTTTAAAAGTGAAAATTTTGATTAAATTTTTTGGGTTGAATTAATCTCAGTTGTTTGGATAGTTTATTAAAAAAAATTAAATAAAAGGAAAATATTAATTCTTTTAAAACCTCACTTCATTTATTTTTAAATCTTTAATTAAGATTTACAACTAAATTTGAATATATATTTTTAAAAGTGGAGAATAACTAATAAAAATTAATTAGAAAATTAAAAAAAATATATATATATATATAAATAATTGTATAGTAAACAAAAATATATTTTTTTAAAATTAATAATAAATTGGAGTTAATTATTTATTTATTTGTCAATTTTTTGAGTTATTTATTATAAATATTTTTTTCTTTAAAAAAATATATTAAAATTTAAAATTATTTGGAATCGTGCTTGGGAAGAACCCTAAATAAAAAAAAATATCAAACATATAAAACAATATTGAGAATATTAAGAATATATTTAATATTTTAATTATTTTTTTAACCCACTACCATTTTATTTTATTATATAAATATATATATATATAAGATTTAAATAGAAGCATTGACCAAGTAATTGCATAAAATACTCAGAAAGCATCTTTTTTTTTCAAAAATTGAAATTAAATATTTTATAGTCCAAAAAAAGCATTAAATAAAGGAAAGTATAGATAAGAACCAACCAATTCTTTAATTATTTGGTATTTGTTATTTATTTAATTAATTTAATTAATTTATTAAAAACTAATAGCATAAGCATATGGGTGAGAAGTTCGAGGCACATTTGCACCATTTTCTTTGCCCTTTTTATTTGTTTTTTTGCTAATTAATAATGGCCTCCATTATAATATTATTAAACTCTTTTTAATCTAATTTCTTCTAAATAATTATATAAAAATAAAATTATTTCATCTATATAATATTATTCATATTCTCATCATACTTTTCTTTCTAATATAATAATTTATGAATTCATATGCTCCTCTTGCCTAGCTTTTTGTCATGACCCCTCCTAATTATAAAAATAATAATTAAAAAAAAAAGGGTATTTTGATAATTTCACACCATATAAATTATTATTATTATTATAATTATTATCATATTTTGGGTCATATATCTCTTCTAATATGTATTAGCTAATTGACCATGGATTTTTCTTCAACCGAACTCAATAAAATTTCAAACCATCTTAATTTCGACTAAGAAATGATCGTCTTGTCTTTGACCCTCAGTTTGGATAATAAGAGAGAAGGAGACATGGGAGGAGAAGAAAGGAACAGGGGAGGAAAAATGTTGCAACGTCGTCGAGAATTTGTTATGTTTCCAAAACTAAAAAAAAGTTAAAATATTATGGGCCCCGATGTTTTTGTAACCAAGAGTAGATCCTATTAATCACACCTTTCATTTTCTAGTGATTCACATTAATTTCTAAAGAAATGCATAGACATTTGACAGACTATATAATATAGTGATATATATTAATTTCTAAAAACCAAATGTATCTAATTCATTATATATACGTACCCAATACTAGTTTCGTCAATATACTTTAATCATTATGTCAAAATACTACAAATGAGAAGGCTTCTAGCCTCGAGTATAAACCTTACATAGGGATAAAACCGAAACCGAAACCGAAGTTTTATTAAAGCACGAGGACAAAATTGACACAATGTGAGGATGTATGTGAGCATCAAGTATCCCAAAACGTCACCAGAGGCCGATTTGTTTATGAATCTTGGAATTGTTAGAAGACTTCCTACCCTTGTCTTTGTAGGTGTTTCTCGAGGCACGACCCTTTCTTCCTCCGCTGGCTGATGCTATGGCACGTTGTCTCTGCTTGTTCAACCGTTTGTTCAGTTCAGTATCGTCGTTTTCATCTCTAGCCTCACCTTCATCATCCCTCTGCAGAGAAATAGAGACATCTAATGTTACCTTCGATATTACACCACTGGCCACCCTAAGACTGTGACTAGACAATGAAGGTTCTAAATTATTCAGTTCTAAACTCTGAGGGCTTGAACATAAAACATCTTTGAGGCCATCTCCAAACATTGCTAGCATTTACACTATCGAGCACCTTGGCAAGTTTACTGGTCAATTTGTGTCCACATCTACTAATTTTAATGGACAACTGTTTCTCCCTATTACGTTTTCAATTTTAGGTGAAGGACTATCATGGTTCAAAAACATTCCCTCTAAGCTCCTGCGCCTTTTCGTAAGTCCAGATTTTAAGATCCCACATCGGTTGGGGATTATAAGGGTGTGGAAACCTCTCTCTAGCAGACGCGTTCTAAAAACTTTAAAGGGAAGCCCGAAAAAGACAATATCGACTAGCAGTTGACTTGGGCTGTTACACTAACCATGGTGATGTGAATATCATTTGAAGTGAAGGACGTGTGCTTAATATCTTCTCCACTATCTATGGACTAACATTCATAGATTCTCAAAATGTATTGGCGATATTGCCAAAGCAGCATAACCTATGCAAGTATATAGCCTCCTAAAACCAATTTCATGCAAAACAATAATAATAGTAATAATAAATAAACCAATTGGCGGCGTAAATTTTAAGGATTAATACCGTTTCACTTGAGCTATTCTCCAAGATTCCAGTTTCATTTGCTTCTTGGTTCTGCTAAGAAAAGAGGAGATGAAGATCAATTATGATTTAGCATTATACACATCATCCATGAGCAGACTTAGAACCTAAGCGGTCGGTCGCCTTCTAAAACTATAAAGAAAAGTTATACTTAAGTAGCTATTAAATGTACAAGGTGCCAACAGTGATTGGAACTATATGTTTGTTCAGCCCACCATTGTTGTCTAGTTTTGCTACCTCAAGAAGTCTTTTCGATTAGATTTATTTTCCAATCATAAGGTTTGTTCATCATTTAGGGATGGGTTCTTTGAAGAAATGTCAGTTCAGCCGTGCATGCTGGAGATCCGTGAAGCAATCTACCAGCAATGGTCAAAGGGATCGATAAATGGAGATGAAGATGGTGCAATTCTCGGTGGTTTTTGTGATTTATGTCTTCTCCCCTCTATAACTATGGTCTATTTCTATGGTATACTGTTTACACTTATCACAGAGTTGTAAGAAGGTTCATCGAGCTGAGGATAAGAGGGTGGACAGAGGTTCGTGATAGACGAACGTCAAGGAGGAAGATGGCGGAGGAGCGGGGGATGAGTCGAGATAGAGCATAGCAGACATGCCATAAATTAGATCCTTAACCACATAAGCAAGTAAAAGAAGGATAGTAGAAGTTAGAAATAATACATTTGAATCTGAGTCATTCTCAGATACATCATCCAGACATGTTTCATGGTTCCCCTGCAACTCTACATTTTCATCACCACTCAAGGTCTCCTATGAATTACAAATAAAACAGCTACATTTAGACTTTTATGACATCAAGAGAAGATGAAAATTAAATTTGATTGAAAGATACTCCGCAATTTCGAACTTAGTTTAAGCACAGTGATAAAATGAATACCTCAACTGATATGCGTAGATGTTCCACTGCATTGGTGTCCATTTCATTTAACTTAGAGCTTTCAGCTTCTTCCTCGCCAGAATCTGCATCTTCCTCGAGTCCGCCTTCAATAAACTACATGTACCAATATCAAATAGACAAACGTTGTAATCGTCAAGCAATTCAGAATGAACTGGTTAATCACATTTGGTCAAAATAATTTTAAATCCCCACGATGAACTTTGACGTTGGAGATATAATCATCACATAGTATTGCGAAAAACTCGAGGTCACTTATTGTTACTGGGGAGAAGAATTTACTGACATATTGGCCATATGTTCAACATTACACATGAGAGATGTGTATCTAACATTGCATACCAGCAAACATCATAAGAAACTTGAGGCCGTACCAAAATTAGACAATATACTGCAATTCCATCTCTCTGAACTCAGCAATAGAAGGTTTTCCATACCTTTTCAATGTCTTCCTGCTCCTTTCGTGTGAACCCACTGGCAGCAAGTTCCTTGTCTAGACTTCCTGCACCTTTAGATATAGAAGAAAAGCAAGGCCTTGCACTTTCATCATTGTCAATCTCTACGTCATTTTCATCGTCCACAGTCTCATGGAATGACAAGTTAAACCTGTGAGAGAAAGGAACTTAAGTCTTTAGCATAGCAATAAGAAGAGCCACTAACCCGCTGATATACTGTGAGATGGCTCAAC